CTGGTGGATGGAGGCAGGACCAGGCTGGCCAGAATCTGGTGAAGAGGGGCCCTGTGACCTCGTGAGGAGGGGTAATCTGGGGTTGCATTGGTTCTGTGAGCTCCAGGGAGCTCCTGCCTCAAGGCGTGTGAGGTCTGGTCTGCATGTGCTGGGCTGGGGGGCAGAGGAATGGGGTCACAGGCCTGATTCAGGGTGTGGCATAGAGGGCTGCCCAGGCGTGCCATCCTGCATCTGCACCTCTGGGCACACTCTCACGCTTGCTGGCCCTTTCCTTGGGGCTTTGCCTTTCATTCCCACACCGGGCCTCAGACCATACTCTCTTGTGCCAATGCAAAAAATTGAGGTTTAAAGTCTCATTGAATAATTCTTCACCAAAGATACATTGTTAATCAACGGTGACTGAATTCTACTTGGTCACCTGTGGACCAATTAGTTGGATGTATAAGTTAGTGTTTGCTATTTAAAATAGCAACCACTTATTGACCCCACAGCTCTGTGAGTTGGCCATTTGGTCTGGGATCAGCTGGTGGTTCTTCTGATCTCTGCTGGGCTCACTCATGCAACTGGAGTTAACTGCTGTGCCAGCTGAGACTGGCTGTCCAGGGGCCAGGATGACTGGTCTTTGCTCTGTGTGGTCCCCTAGAGTCCAGCATGCTAGCATGGGCTTGTTCGTGTGGCAGCCCCGCGGGGTGCTGAGAGGGGCAGTAAGAGCGTGCAGGGCTTCTTGAAGCCTAGGATCAGAGCCTGCTCCATTCTGTTGGTCAAAGCAAGTCACGAGGCCAGCCCTGGTGCAAGCCTTAGGGAGACAGACTCCACTTCTTAATGAGAGGAGTTGCAAAGTCACATGGTGAAGGGGCATGGGTATAGGCAGGGGAAAAACTGGTCATTTTTACAAACTCGGTACCCCAGCGGCCAGTGGCCAGATCTCACACCGTGAGCGAGAAAAGGGAGTGATGTTTCTTCATCCACGGGCGATCACATTTTCTGGTTTTCATAGGTCCTTGATGTGCTGCTCTGGTTTCGGGCAGTGGCGGATGGTGTGGGGTCCTCTGTCCCCTGACCTTGGGCTGGACGGCTGTGCATGGGAGCTATGTGACGCTCTTTCAGATACGCTTCATGGAAGCTCTCAGAGGCATGCTTGTGCTTAAGAGCCTCCTGATTTTCCTGGTCAGCTGTCAGAGCCGGAGCTTGTTGGCAAGGCTTCAGCCATTCGTATCTAATCCCACGCACTGATTAATGGAGGCGGTTTCGCTTTTATTGTCCCTCTGAGGCAGCCAGTCTCCCCGTCTCCCCATCGGCCGCAGCAGAAGCCGCTCACAGGTTTGTGGCCATTTATGGGCAGAGTCAGAGCCCTGCTGTGCTCACTGCGGAACACGGTGGGGTTGGAGGTGCGGGTCACATCCTGCCCGGCGACCGTGGTAGGTGACTGTTCCAGCCTCTGCTGACTGCCTCCCAAAGTGTCATTTCCTTCATCTTATGAATTATATAATAATACTTTCTCTCTTGCCATCATGTTTCCCCTCTCCACTGAATCATCACTATCAGTATATAAACATGCTGTGTTGCTCTCACCTTAGAACATAATGCTGTCTGGACTCCACGTCCCCCTCCACCTGTTACCCCATTTCTCTACCCCTCTAAAGAGAAGAACTCTTTAAAAAGAGATTACTGTACTCACCATCCCCGATATGTTTGCTTCCATTCCCACTAAAACTCCTCTGATCAGGACCCCTCTCTGCTCCTCAGAAACTGCTCTCGGCCAGGTCAATTGCTATGGCCAGCGGTCACTCTAGGTCTCTATCTGGCTTGCCCAGGTGGTCACTTTCTCCTCTGAGAAACCCTCCCCTCACTTGGCTGCCAGGGCACCTGCCTCCCGCCTTCTCCTCCCGCCTCGCTGGCCCGTGCATCCTCATCTCCCTGACCACTGACAACTTAGGGCCCTAAGGTTCAGGCCCAGGCCTTTCCTCCTTCCTATCTACATCCTCTCCGTGACCCCATCCTGTCTCACGGCTTTAAACACCAGCTACGGGCTAATGACTCTCGCATTTACATCTGCAGCCAGATCTCTTCCCTGGTCCCCAGACCCACACAACTGCCTGTTCAACACCTCCATGTAGGTGTCTCATTGGCATCTCAAACTAGCACGTCCAAGACTGAATCTTGATCGTCCTCCCAAACCTGCTCCCCGCGCTGTCGCCCTCATGTGGCAACAAGGGGTTTGCATTTTTTTCCCTTCTGATTTAACCTGATTTTTGAATATGTAAAATATTTATGTAGCTCAAAATCAAAACAATATTAAAAGGTAGCCTTACAGAAGTCTCACTTCCCTTCCTATACTCTCTCTACCCTATTTTTCAGTGTTTCTTTTGGCAAAAATAAGCAAATATATTTATTTTCCCCCTTTTCTTACACAAAAGTTGGCATACTATGTGCATCGTCCATATCTTCCTTGTTTCACTTAACAATATAGTCTGGAGATCAGTTCACAAAGAACTTCCTCCTTCTTTTTACAGCTCATCAAAATTTCATTGTATGAATGTAATTTTTTTAGCCAGACCCCTACTAATGAACCTTTGAGTTGCTTCCAGTCTTTGCTATTACAAATAAGGCTGCAATTAATGCCCTTATGTATATGTTGTTTTGTACTTCGGAAAGACATCTTCAGGGTGGATTCCTGGAACTGTGGTGAAGGAAGCCATCAAGAGAATCTGAGAAGTTGCGCAGGCTTTGTATCCCAGTGCAGCCCCCAGGAAGGTGTAGTCTCCAGTGCCCAATTTAGATATGACCAAGGAGGATAACGGAGAGGGAAGAATCTCCCAGAGCACAGGGCCAACGGTGCAAAAAACGATATTTGGAGAGCCCCTCCCGGGGAGCAAAACTGGGACCTGCTCACAGAGCGATCCTACCTCTGGGGACCAGTTCTGGATATGAGTTATGAGTAGAACTGAAAAGGTCAGGGCTGAACTTTCACTCGATGGTGTGAGACCTTCCAGAACTTTTTTTCTGTCTTCTGTGACAACCAGCAATGTTTCCTCAGCTAGTTACTAAATGAAGACATGTGGAGCAAAGTCCCCTGCTGACCTGCAATGAACACGTAGTTTCAATGGGAAATGAACCTCTAAACCACTCCGACCTTGGGGTTACTCGTTAATTTAGCGTAATGAACACGACTTGACCTGACTGATACACCTTCTTCAGATCTTGACTCACAGGTCACCTTTTCCTTAAGGCCCTCCTGGACCCCGTATGTAAAATAGCAGCTCCACACCCACCCTGGCGCTCTACTCCCTTCCCTACTTTATATACCTCCATAACATCCATCTCTATCTAACATTATAGACTTTGCTCCTTTATTTTGTTTATTATCTGCCTTCTTCTGCCATCAGAATGTAAGCCCGTGAAGGCTGAGATGGTCTGAGTCTGGGTGCCACCGAAAGTGGACCCTGAGAACAGGGGCTTTGGTGTCTGTTGTTCATTTGGGAGGTGATCCCAAGGAGCACAAGAGAGGGAGTTGGGGAGGAAAGACAAGGAAGGGAGTGAAACAAATAAAGGATGCATTAATCAGCTCATTACAGCTCTGGGCAACTGGGGCTCAACCCTCTGGAGATCCTCTGAGAAGCCCTGTCAAACCAGCCTCAGAAATTTCCTACTGAGAGATAGGAAACTGGAAGATTTGTCCCCAACTCCTGTCGCTTGTTGGTTGCAGGGCACCCTAAGGGCATTAAATCTCTGGCACATCCAGGCAGCCTTGTGCATGTGCTGCAAGCTTCCCCGGTGCTAGAAAAAGTCTTCAGGTGGAGAAGCAGAGAGATGCCCACAGTCCCCGTGAATGGGAACTGTCCACCACAGCTGCAGGTGGGTCAGGGGACATGTGGTGGGAGCATCAACAGCATCTACCATAGGGATTTTGGTTTTTTATTCCCTAATGTATCACTGGCCCCTAAGCTGTGTTGGACAGATTTTTGTAATAAATGGATGAATGAATACTAGAGTGGCTGAGTGTGTCCCCAGCATCCATTTTCCCTTTTCTTATCAACCTTATACCTATTTTCCCGTGAGAAACCACCTCTCCCAAATTCTCAGCCTGGGGCTTTGGTTGGGATTGACCCCACCATTAGTTCTCAGGTACAGGCCACTCCCCCACCCAAAAGGCTTAATACAAACAACCTCTCTTACTCATCTCTTCTTCTCTCTCCCACCACAGTGATCTGTTCAAGGACGGACAAGTGATTCATTTGGGACCAATGAGAGAGAGTGAATGCCAGCGCTTGCTCTCTCTCTGAGTGATGTGGTATAAAGATGTGAGGTCTGGAATAGCTGTAGCCATTTTGCCACCTGGGAAAGCCTGGAACTTTTGGGCTGACTGCATGAAGCCCAAAGAGAAAGCCCATAAGAAGACAGAGAGGAGAGGGAGAGAATCTGAGCCTTTGAAGACATCTTTTGGAGCTGCTGGATCAAGTCTCACTTGAAGCCAGAACTAAATCTAGATTTTTAATTGACATACTCAATAAAAATTCCTTTATATTATGAATCAGTTTAAGGCGAATTTTCCGTCTCTCGTGACTGGAAGAGTCCTCACTGATTCTGTACCTAACTCACAGGCTTCTTGTCAAGTTCAAATAAAATATCACTTAGGGAAGCATGGCACACATATAATACTCAATGAATGGTAACCGATATTGTTATTATGATATTTATTTATACAGAGTTATGTGTGTTTTTTATTCTATAACCTAACATTCGCATATTTCTGTTTCTTTTTTCAGTCTTGTTCAATTTCTACCCCCAAAGGGGAGAGACTGAGGGAGGGGCTGACTAGCCCCAGGCTCCACCTGGGAGCTCACCACCAGCTTGAACCCAGTGAACAACACAGAGGCCACGCGGTGCGGTTCTAATTCCTTTGACATCTCATTTTCATCCTTTGATGATGTTTATCTGCATCCAGCTTACAAATAAATGTTTCCAGGAAAATGCTCCAAATGCCTTTTGCAGAAATCTGAATCCACGTGAAAACAATGGCAACAAGAAAAAGGTGTAAACTTTCCAGAACAGGCCCAGATTTTGAAAATGTGATAAAGAGGTTATTGTGTGTCCAAACTTTTCACACAAGAATTGGAGGAGATTTAACACCAGGAATAATAAACAGAGGAGGACCGGCTAATGCAGAGCAGATGGGACTGCAGGGCAGAGCTAAGCCTTTCAATGTCTTCCCCGCGGACCTTGGGACTCAAGAGGACTGAATGCTGATCTCTTTAGTTAAAATAAAGTTAATGCCATTGGGGAAGCCATAAATATCGCTGGTTTGATTTCTGGAGGGGGAGGTTTAGTGGACTAAAGTTTTTAAGAACCTACCATGTGGGAGGCATTGGACGTTCACTGCTTTAATGCTGACCACAGCTCCGTTCTACAGACGAGAAAACTGAGGCTCTAAAAGTGTAAATCACTTACCAAAGGGCACACAGCCAGTGTGAGCGTGGGGCCAGGATTCATCCTAGGTCCGTCACATTGTATGTGCCATGGTTTGGGGTCAGAGGTGAGCAGGGAAAGAGAGTCATGGTCAAATAAATTTGAGAAACATTGCCACATATGTAAAATATAAAATTAATATAATATAATACATATATTTACATAGTAACAGTCTCATTAAGGTATAATTGATATACTATAAACTGTACATATTTAAACCATACAAGTTGATGTTTTGACATATGTCTATACTCGTGAAACCATCACCACAATCAAGATAACGAGCATATCCATTACTCCCAGAAGTTTCCTCGTGGCCCTTTGTAATTCTTCCCTCCTGTCTCTCCCACCCTTGATCCCAGACGACCACTGATCTGCTTTCTCTCACTGTAGATTAGTTGCATTTTCTAGAGTTTTATATAAACAGAATCATATGGTATACACTCTTTTTTGTCTGTCTTCTTTCACTCAGCGTAATTATTTTGAGATTCATTCATGTTATTGCATGTTTATTCCTTTAAATTACTGAGTTGTATTCCCTTGTATGAATATACCATAATTTGTTTATCTGTTCCTCTATAGGCAGACATTTGGGTTGTTTCAAGTTTGGGGCTGTTACAAATAAAGTTGCTGTGAACATTTGTGGTCAAGTCTTTGTATGACATAAACTTTCTTTTCTCTTGGATAAATACCTAAGAGTGGAATGGCTAGCTCATATGGCAGGTATATGTTTAACTCTTAAAGAAACTGTTAAACTGTTTCCCAAAGTGGATGCACCATTTTACATTACCACCAGCAGTATATGAGTGTGCCGGTTCCTCCACATCCTCGCTGGCACTTGGTGTGGTCAGTCTTTCTAGTTTTTGCCATCCTAATAGGTATATAGTGGTATAAAATTACATATGGTTTTAATTTGCATTTCCTAATGACTAATAGTATTGAATATATTTTCATGTGTTTGTTTACCATCTATATTTCTTCTTTCGTTAAGAGTTTGTTCAAATGTTTTGCTTAATTTTACTTGAGTTGTTTCTTTCCTTATCATTGAATTTTGAGAGTTCTTTATATATGTTGGATACAAGTTTTTTAATAGCTATATGCTTTGCAAAGATTTTCTCCAAGTCCGAGCTTGTATTTTCATTCTCCCAACAGTGTCTTTAGAAGAACAGAAGTTTTGAATTCTAGTGAAGTCCAACTTATATTCCACATCTCTTAACTTCTATTTCATATTTTTAAAATCTTAGCTACATTCTAGGACATTCCTTTGGCTTGATTTTACAACTCGCAAATTTGCTCTTTGGCAACTTACTGTATTATTCAGTCTATATGTTGAATTTTTTTCAGGTATCAAAATTTTAAAATGAAAATAATTCTTAATATTTGCAACATGGTAATCTTGCCTCCCCATGAGAAAATCAAATATTTGCAACATGGTAATCTTGCATCCCCACGAGAATATCAATTATTTAGTTCAGCTCAGTCTATGAGCTCAGGTGTAAGTTCTGCCCCTGGTAAGAGGGTGATATCTTTCTTGCACAGAGCTGAATTTCTACAGTTGCTTGGTGATTTTTAGCTGAGGAATCATCTATTTGAGGATCCCTGTTGGCTCCTCTTTGTTTATTGCAGTCCTCCTCCAGGATGTGGGGTGAGAGTCAGACATAGTGTCACCAAGGGAGGCTTTCTTTTCTTTTCTTTTTTTGTGAGGAGATCAGCCCTGTGCTAACATCTGCCAATCCTCCTCTTTTTTTGCTGAGGAAGACTGGCCCTGGGCTAACCTCCGTGCCCATCTTCCTCCACTTTATATGAGATGCCTCCACAGCATGGCTTGCCAAGCAGTGCGTCGGTGCGCGCCCGGGATCCTAGCCGGTGAACCCCGGGCCGCTGCCGCGGAGCGTGCACTTAACCGCTAGCGCCACCGGGTCGGCCCCACAGGAGGCTTTCTTGGAGCAGGAACTCCTCATTCCCCCTGGTGTTGCCAGCCCCATGGGACATGGTCCTGGCTCTAAAGGCTCATGCTTCTTGCTCCTATGTGGAGGGAGACACCTCTATTGCTGCAGCCGGTTCAAGAGGCTCTGGGGACAGAGACAGCTCTTACTCTGGTACCCCAGCTCATGCCCCATCAGCCACTCAGAGCAGCTCCTCTCCCACTCTCTGGTACCTTCAGGCTTTGAGCATCCTTGGAGCAACCTCCCGTCCTCCACTTTTGTGCCTCTCCATGTGTGCCTCAGTACAGGGATCCTTTTAAAATCTGATTAGACTGCTTTCCATATTTGAGGGATTTGTCAGGATTTCACATCCACAAGGAAACTCCTTCCAGTTTTCCAACACTATTATGGATCAAAAACACATTTTGTCTCCTTTCTAGAGACTTGTGGTGGGAGGAGAGGCTGTAACTGATGCTCGGTTCTCCATCCTGAACTGAACCTCTAGGCAATATTTGCATCTGTAGAAGAATCTCTTGGTATTGGAAGGCCCACGGGTACAGACCACATATGCCAAATGTTGTCATGACAACAGTTTGGTTTGAAATTCTGATGTGTACATTTCATTTGGGAAAGTTTAGTGGGGCTGACGTGAAGAGGGGAAAGCATAACCATTTTTAGAAACGAAAATCTGAACATTTCTCTCCCCTGTGAGAGCACTGTGCTGGAAAGGCCACGTGTCTGTGCTACGATCGACAGTCCCAGGTGAGCCCAGCCTGTCAGCCCTTCCCACTAAGGTCCCAGACATGCGAATAAAGCCGTGTCTTGGGTCCGCCAGACAAGCCCAGCCACCAGCTGAGAACCACTGAGTAACCTCAGTTGATGCCACATGAAACAGAACTGAAGAAGTGCCCAGCCAAGCCCCGCCCAAATTGCTGACCCACGAAAGTGTAAGATATAGTAAAATGGCTGCTTTAAACTGCTAGGTTCTGGGGCAGTTTGTTATGCAGCGATAATAACCAAAACCCCTGGCACATAATAAGTGCTCAATAAATATGGGTCAGAGTATTTCGATGTCAAATTCCATTTCCCATGGTGTAAGAGTAGCCAGGCTTGGGAGACGACTGCCCTGATCTCGCCTTCCCTGACTCTCTCCTTCCGTCCCGCACTGATTCTCCCGGCAGCGTTGAGACCTATTTCCCAATCTGGTGCACAGTGGATCTTCGTCTGAAAACCTCATTAAGAGTCCATATTAATTGTCCTCCTTCTGCATAAAGGCCACCACACCAAACAGCCCCCAAAACACTTCTCATTCTACCTCTGCCACCACCTCCATGGGTAACCTTGAGCCTGGGTTCTGGGTCCCAGTTTCACCATTTTTAAACTAAATGGACACCTTCCAAGGGCACATCCTGTTTCTGACATAGCCACATAGCACAGTTCCCTCACACTTCACCCACTGCTCCTTTACTAACCTTCAACTTTTTGGTATTTCTTTCTTCATCCTCCCCCCTACCCCCATTTCGCTCCATCGTTGAAGCTTGCCTGTCTCTCCTGCATTTAAAAAACCTTCCCTTGGCCTCCTGTACTCCTCCATGACCATCTCATTCATCCTCATTTCTCACCTGCACCAGCTCCCTCTTTAACTGGTCAACTCTTAACCTTTCAGGTCTCAACCGAGATGCTGCTTTAGGGAAGCCATTAGGGACCCCCTCCACCCCGAACAAGTACCCTTCCTCTGTACTCCTAAAGCACTCTTTACCAACCACTTCCCCCCATTTCAATCCCTTTCATATTGTAATTAACTGGTTTATCATCCGCTTCCCTCACTAGACTGCTCTCTGGGAGGGATGCCATGTTCATTGTTCCAGCTCCAGCACGCAGCAGTCTTGGGTATGGGACATGGATCTCTGTAGCTCTCCCTCCACACTGGCAGACAACAACAACTCTGCTACTATCACCAACATCGGTTGAAGCTTTCCACATGCCGGGAATTGTTCTAATCACATTACATGAATCTTGCCAATAATTCCACAAGTAGGTACTATTATCATCCCCATTTTAAAGATGGAGAAACTGAATCTCAGAGAGGTTAAGTAACTTGTTTGTCTGTTTGTTTTTCTCCTACTGGTAAATGTTGGAGCTGGGATTCAAACCCAGGAGGCTGACTTCTGGGTCAGTGAAGCTTTTTTGGGAAAGACCTCAGCTTTGGGCTTTGACTTACATCGTCTTTTATTTTTAACAAGAAATGAGTCTTGTATGTACAGTTTGCCCTTCTTCCTAAGCTCCTTCTCCTAAATGTGACTGTTGGTGTCCCGGTGGCCTAGAGGTGCCTCTGCTCCCTACATGGATGTGTTGGGTCCAAAGTGCATCTTCTTTGCTGTACCAAACACACTCTCCCTCCCTATCACCTTTCCTCACCAAAAACCCACAGCATCCCACAGCAAAAAATCAGCACTGGAACGAGAGAGGCGTATTCTGAGCAATAGCTGTGGCATGTGGCAGAGTGTGCAGTCCTAAAGTTTTGGCTTTCATAGCTTTGTGGACAGAGAGCCAAGGCTTCTGATGGGACTCACCCCTGTCAGAACCAGAGTGGCTGCAATAGAATGTGACAAAAGGAAACATTCCATTAAAAAAACAAACTCAAACCAAATTAAACAACCACAACCAAAGAGGGGTAAAAAAGAAAGTAAAGAAAAGAAAAGACAAAAAACAACTACATACAGAAGGAGGATGATGAGTTAGTTCCTGCAGAACAACAGCCCATCTACATCTTAAAATACTGAAACACAGATGTGGCCAACTTTCCTCAGTCCTTAACAGAGCCTTAAAACTACTATTTCTCAAGTGTTCAGCACCCACAGGTAAGCCTTTGGCTAGTTCAAGCAGTAGAGGAATTTATTGAGAATATTAGGTAATTCACAGAATCTTCAGGAAGATCTGGAAACCAGGCTTGGAGGACACAGAACCAAGAACAACACCCCACCTTACACTGCCAGTGACGCCAGTGTTGCCACTCCTGTGGCTGCTGGCAGATTTATTCCCTCTGCCACTGCCACCTTTCTGGGTG